AGTCGTTTAAAGGAAAGTTGACGGACGCCGGACAGACGCCGGACGGACGCTGCGCCATGGCATAAGCTCAGCTGCCCTTGGGGCAGGTGAGCTGAAAAAAGATCACACCACAAGTTAAGATCACCAGCAAGCATTCAGAGATATTCTAAACCAAGACACCCCCCCATAAGCTTCACTGCAGACCAAACATGGCCATTTAAGTCCTTTTCATTAGTGGCCATGGCAACCCTCTATCAGAAGGTATTTGTATATAGCTGAAGTGTTATACGTTTCATTTAATGAATTCTCCTATCAAAACTATTGCATATGAGTTGTGATATTTCATTGGAAATGAAGAACAACAATTATTCAATTTACAAGTTCTATGAATGGAAATATGATTTTTTTAATAACAGTTCAATAGTAAATATTTCATCCTATGTCATAGAGTAATGTTATCTACTGTCTTGTGTGCACGGACATGTACCTGATTGAGGCACTTTGTACTTCCCTGATAGAAGGTGATCGAGTGATGAAAACAGACAAATATGGGCGTGATCAACTTCCTGTTAACCAGGTGTCTGTGATTGAAGTACTGTTTTGTGAAGATTTCATGATATATCCCAGTTCTACATTTGAAGATTTCACATATTGTTTACCTTTGGTAAGTCTTTCTAGGCGAACACGCTCATGAGCAGCATGCTGATCAAAAAGCAACATCAGATTTGGATCTGAAAGACATTAATTATATCTATATATAGGTAGGGCTGATATACATGCCATAAATTGTTCCTAATGAGAGATAAATCTGAGATGTTGCAGAGATCTTTAAAGTACAGGGATATATTTTCTTTCCAAAATTACACCACATAAAGATTAAAAATGAACTGCACAAAAACACACCACACAAAGAAACAGGTAAAATAGCTCTAAGTCACTGAGTAAATTGAGGATATGTTTGAAAGGAATAGCAGAATGCATTCATAGATACCCCCTCTGATAAAATAAAATCTAAACTAGATACAGTAATACTATTAGAATTATCTAAGGGACATAACTCTTCAATAAATTAGTTCTACTGTGTTACTGTCTTTCTCTGCTGAAAAAATAATGATGAAACATATTTCGACAGATGAGCTGTAAACATTCAATTACAAACAAATGTACACACAACGGATAAAAAAAGTCACAGAACAACCACTCGACTATACAGAAGGTTGTGTTTGTGTCTAATTCAACTGAAAAAAACCTCTGTGGACTAGTGTTTGTCTCTATTAGCTGTGAACAGTTTGTCTCAGGTGACCTAAAAACCCTCTGTGGACTAGTGTTTGTCTCTATTAGCTGTGTACGGTTTGTCTCAGGTGACCTAAAAAACCTCCGTGGACTAGTGTTTGTCCCTAGCTATTAGCTGTGTACAGTTTGTCTCAGGTGACCTAAAAAACCTCTGTGGACTAGTGTTTGTCTCTATTAGCTGTGTACAGTTTACCTGCTGCCATGTTGTTTGTCCTGGAACTGGTCATACAGGCGATGAACTTGTTGTCTACCTGTCCCACCACCTACAGCACATATTATAGCCATTTATATTGTCTACTATGAAAACTACAAGCTACATATACAGGTATTCAAACCTAAATCTTTTGAGCAACATTTTAAAGGTAACTGAAGTGGGACGGTAAGTGTCAAATTATTATAAATAACATGAAAACATTGCATAAAGCTTATGTGAACTTTGATTTATATTTTGCCAATGTAAGAATTAAAGTTTCTATGATTTAAATTTGTCGCTAGAATCCAAAGCATTATCAAGTTTGTTTGTAACTTAAGGTATAACACATTATATATGGTACACATACATAGTTATTAATAGTATTGTGATTTCAGTCTTACTTAAATTGATGTGATTTTCCCCCAGCAAGCTACAGACCAAACGTTATAATTCTATACAGTATTGGGCTTCAAAATAGGTCTTGTAACACTTTTGACCACCTTGACCGTTATACAGTGACTGAAGTTACAAAAATCTGGTTTAAATGCTGTATTCTCACCTTTACATCCTGTAGCATGTCCTTGGTGAACTTGTGAGAGTGAAGGACACTATTAACCCTGGCTGTACCTCGCGACCTCCCACTGACCTCCACAGCTGTGGCTATCGCCTGAACCAACAACAATGGTCACATGTTTTGAATTAATCAGTAGAAAGTGATTTCATATCCCCTTACAGAAATTGATCACGGCTATAGTTTTGGAAGTGATGCTGTAATTGTAACAGTGAGAAACACAAAATTACACCTGTTTTTGTTAAGTGAACAAAAAGGTCGTTCTCCATATTACACACATTCCGGGTTATGTGAACAAAGTGTTGTCTACCTTAAATACCTGACAGTGTTCAATTAAACAAAAACAATTTTGAAATATCTTCAAATGGTGCTAATGCCAATTTGCATTCGTGATGTAAAAACACTTTTCATTGGTCAATAACCATGGATTAGAAATGATAGAAACGCACAGCTTGTTGTGAAATGAAGACATAAATGCATCACGTGACAAATGTTAGCATGAGCAAAATTACAGCATAAATATCAGGTGACTAGATTA